CCAGGCATCCTGGCCAAATTTCCCATTGGCCCTTACCAATCACAGCCTCCTAATAATCCCCATCTATGAATTGGCTTCATTACTTCATTACATCCAGGTGAATGCTGCACATTGGAGGAGGGGGGTCCCCATTACCTGTAAAGCGCTTTGAGTGGAGTGTCCAGAAAAGCGCTATATAAGTGTAAGCAATTATTATTGATGCACTGTCGTAAACTTGCATTCCCACTTTCAAGTGTAGTAAAGCATAGTGACACCAGAGGAAACCACAGTAAACCATGGTAAGTGTACCAATCCTTTTGGTAAGTTTACCATGATGTGTTACCAATGTGGTAGTAGTCTAGTTAGAAGTCATTCTTCTGGAACAAATGCTGGACAAGCAAACTCACTTGGAGCTATGTTTTCGTTCCTAATGTTATGTATGAGTCCATCCTTCTGAGTGTTGTGCCTCTTAAGAGATCCACATTCTACTGTTTAAGTACCGGATTTGTTAACTTATGACAAATAGTTATTATACATAGGTGTTGCTCATTCTACAAGAAAAATACTGATGTCATCTTTTAAGTAATTTAGATTTAGAATCATCACCTTTCTAGCTTGTTGAGGAATAGCCAAGTGTTTTTTCACATCTTGGCTCTGAGTGACAAAGCCCATGACTGCACAAGGGAAAATGAGGATGTGTTTGTAGGCCACCTCCTCTGTCCTGCACACCTTTGAGTCTATTACCACATCACTATATGCTGACTGGAGGTGAGGCATGTCCCTTACTGATCGCACCTGGGAGGCTGCGGTGGTCCCTGCATCACTGAGAGCCCTGATTGACCAACTGTCCTCTCTCTGTGGTGATCAGCCAGTTGTCTACCTCTGCATAGGGATTCCAATACCAAGATGCAGTCAACTAGTGATATGACCAGGCTTGAACCTGCAACACAGAGCTGACCTTGCAGTCTCTAGTTTAGCCAATCAGGAGGCCCCAGTATTCTTTACTTAAACTACTGTAAATCTTTTTGCTGTTCTTTTTATACCTTTTAATATCATATTCTAACTTGATGACTTTATAGTATTACTTAAATATCGGAATGCTACACATTCGCTACTTGTTTTAAGCAACCAGTTGGATAGAGAAGAAATGCTGATTTGACTATTTGTAAAGTGGATATTTTCCATGTCAGTCTACAGGACCAGCTACGACGCCTGTACCCAAGGTTGAAAGTTCTAGCCTATGGAGCCAAACCAGAGTGTACCTTACACACCTACTTCCCATCCTTCCTCTCCAGGGCTACCCCTCACTGCCCTGAAGACATGAAAAAAGAGGTAAGTCGCTGAACCCGCTTTCTTTTCTGATGAAGTATTTGTGGTTTGTGAACCCTTTTTCAAAGTTTCGTCTTTGCGGAGAAGATAGTCAGGAAGTGGGAACAGCGTGTCATTTAGATTCCTGATATCTATTTGACATTCACTGTTGGCAAGTAAGACAGTTCTCAAAAACTGGGAATCTTGACATATTTTGTTGAAGGTCAATCTTGACAAAAAAGTTCAGTGCTGCATTCAATAAAGTTCTTTTTTTAGCTCCTGAAGAGTCTCACAGAGTGTTTATCACTGGATCCTCAGAGCCTCAGTGTCTGGAGGCAGTTGTACACAAAGCATCTTTCACAATCTAGGTAAGGAATCTTTCTCTAAACTTAAGCTAGGCTTCTGTTTAAGCATGTATGTTTTTAGAAGAATAAACCCTATGGATTTTGCATCTTGATTTAAATGTTTTTAGAATCCATCAATTCATTTTATTTAATTAAATGGATTCAACGAGGAATGCCTGTCCATCACAGCATACATACAGGCACACACACTCACGCCAGGGCCAGTTTTCTCAGAAGTTATTTTATCTACCAGTACGTCTTTGAACTGTGGGAAGAATTTGGAGCAAAAATCAATGTGATCATGGGGAGAACATGCAGACTCCTCACAGACAGCACCCCAAATTCAGAATTGAACAAAGGGTCCCAGCACTGATAGGCAACAATGCTAATCACTGCTCCACTGTGCCTCCCTGTTTTTAGAATCCTATTGGTTAATTGATCATGCATGATGGACCACAATGCACTTGAGTGACTGTTAGAAAGGGTTCTGCAACCCCACTTGTTTCCTTTCCTGAGGGATTCTCCTGATGTGACACTATTACAGCAGGGCAGTGCATGTCTTCATGCTGCTTTTGTGACAATGCCTTTCTTGCAAAATAATATTTGTACTGTTAAAGTGTGCATACCCTACTCACTAGACATGAACCCTGTTGAGCATACTAGTCCCAAATTAAGGTCACCACCAGTGAGCACACATGTCCTTATCCATCTGCTGCCTGTTGCAATGCATGTGTTGCTTTTATTGCTACCATCTGGTGACTCATGCTACTAGCCTCTGACTTTCACTGTTGATGCCAGGAAACTTTGTGAAGTGGTTGCGGTAAGGTGATGCGTTTCTTATGATGCTCAGTGTACATCCACAAACTGTAAAGAAATGAATCTGTTTATCTATTTCAGAAAAGGAAGGGCAAAACAAATGTATGGTTGACTTAAATGTTTTAGTTGTGTAACTGCCTTGTGATTTGTCTGAAGTGTATGCATGTGACATTTTAATAAAAGGCCATGGTGCATATTTAAGGGTGTTTGTCAATATTAGTTTGTCACTTTCCTGCATCCACACAAAGATAACATTATCCCTAAGTACAACTAATTGTGTGTTATAGTATTCTGTTTTCAAGGAATAGTGTGGAGAGATTGTTCATTACTGTTAGTGTCCTAATCTTGCAAAATGGCCCTAGGGGTTGGGTTGGGTTTTTGTGGCACAACAAAGTCATGTGGCTGTTTATCATCCCTTAAATAAAGGACATCAAACACAAAGGAGGAAAAAAATAATAATTCCTTACCTCCTCCCCAAAAATGTGTTAATTTTCTGTGAAATGAAGTAGCCAAAGCTCCATAGCATTAGGTTCTAGATATTCTATTTATGTGTAATGAATGCTTCATGCTGTTGACTAATTCAGCTTTTTTTCCCCCCCCGTTTGTCAGCCTTCTACTGAATAATCTGCTTCAGTCTTGGAATACTTTACCGCCAAAAGTAAGTCAGATTCACTACATATAGAACTACATGAGCTGATGCATAGAGGTAGCAGCTCATCTGTGTACATGTCAGAAATCCAAAGGTTTGTGCAATGGTGTGACAACGATAGCCTAATTCTGAATGTTAAAAAAAACAAAAGCAATAGTTTTTGCTACCTCACAGGTAGTAATCCACAACGAATTTATCACTCAGGTTGATTCATATAAGTACTTAGGTGTGCACGTAGACAGTAACCTGTGCTGGACTACTCATATTGAGAGAGTTTGCTCCAAAATTCAGCAGCGCTTATATTTCCTGCGAAGACTAAGTGTTTGGGGTTCGACAGGAAGTAATGCTACTCTTTTACCGTGCTGTAATTGAGAGCATTATCAGATACGGTATTTCAGTGTGGTTTGGTAATCTATCAGTTCATTTAAAATCTCAAGTTACCCACCTCATCCAGACAGCTTTGAAGGTCATGGGAGTGAAACACCATCCCTCCTTGCAGACAATCTTTGAAAAATCCATAATCAAACAGGCAAGAAAAATTATATCAGATCCTTCCCACATCCTCAACTCTGAATATTAACCTATTCCTTCTGGCAAACGTTTTAGGGTTCCCAAACGTAAGTCAGATACAAATTTTCCTTTGTTCTACTATCCATTAAAGCTTTCAACGCAAATGTCAATGATAAACATAATTTTGGCTCTTACAACCCACTTGAGTGCAACATGTTTTGTGATGTGTTATAAATGTTACATGTTATGTGTTATACTGTACATGTGCAATAGAGTGATGTACAATGTTTTTCTTATTTTTTGTAATAATGTGCAATGTTTTTCTTTTCTTCTTTATTCTTGTTTGCATTCTATTTAAATGTACAGGAGTGCTGTGTGTCCATAAAATTCCCTCAGGGGACAATAAAATCTTATCTTGTTTCAAAATGGCAACATTTCACAGTAGAAGAATCTCAAACACTGTGTGCAGCTGTGTACATTGTCCTTTCAGCAAAGGGTTTAAGTTACGATTTTTCCTCTGTAGTGTCTGCAGCGGTGTAGTTCATTTTTAAACTGACACACTCCCTTTCTCTTCCACTTTCCATCGAAAACGGCATACCCCCATTGTATACATTATCTTTGTAAATAACAGATCTCTGAGACTCTTCTTTTTTCTACTGGCTTCTTGATTGACAGACATGCCTATAGTTTTTTTTTGTTTGAGGGTTTTCCCCACTTTAATATTTTACCTGCCTTTTCGTAAAGATACCCCTAGGACATGTGGTACAGTGTGGCATGGCCTGCTTAATGTAAAATAAGCCCTCCTGTGGCTGTTCCTGGGAGTGCACTTTTAATTGAGCTCTGGGTTGTGTTTCACCCAAGCATGCAGCTTTCTACTGGAAAATTCTACACTACAAGAAAAATAGCAGTGAACACTGATATTACAAATTACAAACTTAAAATAAAGCTATCCTTTTTTTTCCCATCTGATTCTAGCTGTTGAGTGATATAGCCCTTTAATGACTTTTATTCAATTAATTTATGCACATTGCTGATACATTTTATGTGATATCACATAATCTAAAATATTATTTTGTGGGAGAAGTAAAAGTACACTAGAGATTCTGAATGATCCTTGAGTAGAAACTTGAAGGTTTAAGGTAGAAGATATGAACTATTCTAGAAACAAAAAGGTTTTCCTCAGAATACAAGGCATTTCTTTACCTTAAGTGTAGTGGGTGTATGGAACAAGTTTCCCAGCTGATACCTTGTCTTTCTTCAAGAAGCAGCTTTGTAAGATTCTCAAATCAATTACCTACTATCTAAAAACCCAGATGGGCTGAATGGTCGCCTCTCATTTGTTCTTAAGATTTTGTCCTTTTATTCTAAAGCAAAAGTAATAAATGAAAGTACAATCCTTTTCAGCACTTTCCATTTTTTTCTTTTTCTTTTGTTTAGACTTTGCAAAACTCTCAGAGCAGAGAATTTGCTTTTACCAAATTTTAATTTCATAGCTCCGAATACATGCATTTCAATCTGTTTTTGCGTTGGCTGACATGTGACTTCTCTTGCCTTGAAGTCTTTAGTTTGAGCTTTCATATCTTGATAAAATACCAAGTTGGAAACAATGGTATGTATTGTTTTATCCTGTAACTTCACAAAATGGGACACCATCAGAAGGGTGTGAACACTTTTGCAAGGCACTATAGCTGTGGCAGAAGCGGAGTTCTCTTTGACAATCAGATTGCATTTCTGAAAAAACAAAATCCTTATTTGCTCATGGTGTGTGAATCTCTTAAAAATAGGCTTAAAGTGCTAAAAACAGAACAGGACAGGAGCACTGTGCCTTGTTGAGCTCCAGTTTCCTAGAGAGCAGTGAAATGCACAGTGCCCAGTGATTGTTTTTCAAAATGGCATAGATCTGCACTGTCAAGGTTTCAAGGAGGAGCCATCACTTCTGTGACATGCTGCACTGAGCCCTGGTATTATGTGTGAGGTTTTATGCGCTGGGTGTGTGAATGTAAGATTAGCTCCTAATACAGACTTGAGGTCAAGGTCTTGTTCTCTGTCCATTAATACAGAATATAATAATACCATAAATTTATTTTCAGATGAGAGTAGTGGGATGGGCTTGTTTACATTGCTGAATCAGGGTCCACTAAATTCTTGAATAATGGCAGATTCTGCATATTTCTGTAATTTCCCCAGAATACCTGATGTATTCCCGATTATCACAGTAATTTCGGGCCTTCATAGATATGGATTAAGAGCCTGTGCCTATTTTTCACAATTACACTACCTCTGCAGCATCATCATACTGCCTGTAACCTAAACATAATAAGTATGAGCTCAGTCATTATCCCAAAATATACATATCAATATAGGAGTGTGTATATAAATGTATATACTGCAATATAAACACATTTTTTCTCCTGCCCTTTTTTTTTAAGTAGAGGGTAGGACAAGCCAATTATTTTCCCATTAATGCAATTCTGTCTTGTTTTTTCAGCTTCAGAAATCTCTTCAGGAAACCGTGCAGTCTTTCAAGGTGACCAATGACGAAATGAGGACATCTGCAAATTCACAAGATTTGAAAGACTGCAGTTCTCTGTGCAATGTAAGAATACCTGCATCTCCTCTTTCCAGGGCTCTGGCTCCATAGTCTTCATAGCCGCTATGCACTGAGGTGAGCCGTTAGTGGCCTTCTTTGCATTGCACGAGTCAGGCTCTCTTTGGGCTCCATGACTGTGACAACACACCTTCTCTTGCCATCTCTGATTTGTGATCTCTGTGGCATAAACTGTCCTTTAATTTTACTACTTGCAAGTATTTTTTACCCATCTTCGCCTGAGTGACTACCTTCCCAGAACTAAACTAAACAGACCTTTGCCTTCCTAAACATCTTGAATTTTCATTATTCTTTCTGGACGTTCCAGACATAAATTCCCTTTGTCAAAATCGCCGTCTGCAGACGGCACCTAGTTCCGAAAGGGCAGTATTCTTTTGAAAGTTATCAGAATTGAAGGGAATTCAGCATTTACACTCGCTTTGTGGCCTTTTAAATGTGTGGCGAAGCCAGTGCTTAGTCTCCATCTAAAGACTTGGCAGACATTTTCCCTCTGCTCCACTCAGCGCCTGCAGCTGAAAATGAAGGGTCATGGTTTTCCTTGGTCTCGCCTGCTCCTGGCCCTGGTGGTGTTTGCGTCTGGTTTCGTCGTCCACGACGTGAGATCACACGGCTCTTTCAAAGGCAAGTCCTTTTTCTTTCCTTTGTATTCAAAAGACTCTGCTAGTGGTTTCAGTGTAGTGGGGTGGCACCCACGATTTATTAAACTTGACTTGGTTGGCTAAATCTCTACAAATAGTTTAGAACAAGTTTGAATTAAAAATGCAACCTTAGTATTTTAATATTTGTATTTTTTTTTATTGAACTGCTATTTTGTCAGTGCTGTCTGTGGTCTGTAACAGCAATCAAGGCATCCTTTTATGTCCCTTTTTTTTTAAGTGGAGGGTGGAATATTTGTTTGCATGTTTTGCGGAATAAGTGCCGTCTTTTAGCTTCACAAATCTCTTCAGAAAGCTGAACATGATGTACCACTCTGCCCGGCACAGAGAAAAAAAAGTACATTTATGCCTGCAAATGGGTGCTTTGGCTTAATGTCCAAGTCCCAGAATTATTTCCAATTCAAATAGAGAGCACTGCTGCCACCTTGGTTTTAAGCAGTTTCTACAGTGTCTGACTTTTTCAGCAGGCTTTGAACCATTCTCTCCCAGACTAGTCAGTCCTCTACATTGATGGATTTTCATCCTTGAGATTATTTCCATTGAAAACTTCATTCTCGAGACATAGACGCAAACTACAACTCATGAAGAGTGGTATAGCACTAGCAATGACTTTTTCTTGGAAAATGAGTTTCTGTAATTTATTTTCAGGCATACTGCAGAATGATCTTAACTCGGTCTAGTTAAAATGCATTGTGCCTTCAAGGCCATATATTCCATAACATTCTGACCTCAACTGTAGTTCACAGAACCATTTTTACCTGTAAATAAGAAGCTATTCAATCTCATTATGGTTATTGCCTTTGTAAAAGTGTACAATAGGATCCTTACGCTTTAAAAAGAGATTGTGTTGTGTATGTTCTTACCTTTTGACATTTTAAATTCCAGCCTCTTCCTGTGCACATGTCCTGCAGCAGTCAGGAATGATGTCAGTGTCTGAGCAGGCCTGGAGTAAGATCTCTCATTATTCTCAAGAGGGATACAGGTTAGTAGCAAAGCTACCTTACAAGGTGCTCAGAAATTCAGTGAAGGACACTGTAGGGGTTATTTGCTTAACCTGAAATATATGCAGCTCTCATTTTTCTGGGTAATGGGTGGTGAGTAGAGACCTAGATAGAACAAAATCACAGACAAACTGAGAAATTATTGCTGATAAACTTATGTAATGGTTTTCACTCCCAATGATCCCAGAATGCATAGCTGGGGACTTGCTTCATCCTTCACTGAATTGCGACACCAACTTAAATGGCAGCTATTCTCTGCCAGCTGATCCACGATGCTGCAGATTAAGACAACTGTGAAATTGCTTTAGCAGTTAGGGCAGGCTGTATACGTGCAACATTGACTTTAGCAAGGACACTGCAGGACCACAGTTTCGACTTATTTAGTGGACAGACTCTCCTATAGCACACAGTGTCTACAGTTACAATACTTGGTTTGGGAACTCTGGAGCAGAGGGAAGAGTGCCACCTACTGGTCTCTTTAGCATTTACCACTGTTAAACAGGTAAAACGGATAAAAACATGATCGTATACATCAATTTTCTTTAACCTCTATCTTTCATATCTTTTTCTAGTTTCTCTGTCTGGTTTCATTTTAACCTGGTCTGTATGTTTTTTGGTCTGCGAAACACTTAAATACTGGAGAACTTATTTAAGAGTTAACCTCCTTTCTATACATAGGATAGTGCAGTGTCTGTTTTAAAGAAGAATGTGTAAACCACATTAACACAAATACAGTAATGTAGATATTAGTAGAAGTAAATTCCATAAAATAAGAGTTCAGCTTCCATTTTTAAGTAATCCGACTGAAAGAACCCACACCAATTTCCTCAACATAATTAAACTACCCCCTGGTAAAGGGGCAGTTGACTGTACTTTGGTTCAGTTGTCATAGCCAGAACTTCAGCCAGAGAAAAAGTCTGTCTCCAAATCTGCTTCATATTTATTTTAGTGTCTGCTCACTAGCACGGAGTGAAGTTCCACAGTTGTGACCTTAGATTGTGTGATTTTGTCCAGATGTTTTTTTCCCCAAAGTTGATCTAATGGACAGTCACATACATAGTGAGGGTAACAACAACCTAGAACCCATCTTGGAAGTAAAGAGCTCAAGGCAGGGCTGTACCCTGGACAGGATGCAGCCATGGGAACAGAGGGACAATTCTGGGATGCCAGTTGATGTAGGCAGCATGCAGTTGAACCCAGGGCCTAATGCAAACAGTTTTTTTTAATTCCTTCTCTGAAATGCCCCTGAATAGACTTTGTTTGTTTTCCATATTTAATCTACGGTATTTACAAAGTCTGTTCTATGCTTGTAACAATTAGTGCAAAGTCATCACCTCAGACATGCAATACAAACAACTGAAATTTTCCCTCTGGCGTATTCCCACTAGAACAAGTCTTCATTTCTGTATATGTGCATATTATGCATTTAACATATAAGCAACTGTTAATTTATAGTGTTGAATTTGAAAGACCTCTGCAGGGTTCATATTGTGAGTGAATAGCTCAGAGAAAGGTGGTCTGCCAGTCAGTTTTACATATTCCCAATGTTATTTTCCCTGTAAATAGTTTGTATATTTCAGTGTTTTTTCACATCTTGCAATAGACTGGTTCTGTAAGTGTCAGTGTGCCATTTTGATTCCAACATGGAATTTATTCTCTTCTTTTTGTAGTTGGGTGGAGACCAATGCACCACACTACTATTCTCAGGCAGTAACTACGCTCGGTCCTTTCCTGGAAGTTGCTTGGGAAAAGACAAAGACATCATCTGCCTTCATTGTAGAGCAGTGTTCCGTTCAGATCACGTGGATTCAAGAAAATGCTCCTAGGTTTATCGAATGGGTAAGATGGGAGTTTCAAGTTCAGTGTGGTTACCCATACTCACTCAGCTCAGCTGAGCCCTGTGGTCTCAGCATCACTGGTCATGATCCTAGGCCACTGTCACTTGGATTCTTGGAAGCGATAATGCACAGTTGATCGAGCACTACAATATTGGGAAGGCATTAGTCAGTCAGGGTCTCCTCAGTTTTAAAGGGGAACTGCAGTGCTGTTTTTATATTTCTGGGTTAGAAAAAATCAGCATTGTGCATTTCAGAACACAATAAAAGAAAAATATACACAGTAAAGAATTCCAGGTACACACAGCAGCGTGTTCTGTGATTCAGAACGAGGCAACAAAACTTCCAGTGACAAGTTGTATCCTTACTACATTGTAAAGAAACAGGCTTCTGAATACGTCTCTTTAAATCCAATAGAAATGTTGCTCACAACATGCAGATCACACCGGAAGACTTCTGCAGTGAAATGTCTGCTCCATGACCTGTGATGTATAGTATGAGCAAATAAGTAGATTGCATTTATTATTATAGTGACTATGAGTTTGCGACAACATGGTGACTTGCAGTGCTTTCATAAAGTTCACAATCTTGTGCTTAATTTGAAATTCATCAAATATTTCTATAGCCTCAATGAATATACAGTATCCTGTTACTGAGACGTATGAACCAGTTTGAGAAATTGGGACTGCAGTTCCCCTTAAATTGAACCAGTGACCTCGAACATCTGCAAGCATTCAGTGATGCTGGTGAGAAAGAGCTGACTGGAAAAACAGGCTATGACTCTCCTGTATGCACTGTGGAGCTTGCAGCAGGTCATCAGATGGATGGTTTTGTCAAGTGGGCATTTTGATGGAGAATGTCTGCAGGCCCCCATGCTCCTTGTGCTGTCTCTATTCACTGAGCCTTAAAAATATGGCAGCTCTAGATTGAGTAGTTGTAATAAAAATTGCAATACCAAATTTTCACTACAGGGTAACTCCTGCATAAATTACTTTCAAGTATTTTTGCAACTCCCAAAATAGTCTCACTTCGAACAAATTCATGCCTTCTTTATGACAGGCATGCTGGTATGTGTGTTTTTGGATAGAAAATGTGTAAAAGGTGTTATAATTTTAGTACTTGTTATTACTAAGAAAAGGTAAGTTTTACTCACCATTGGCATGCCACCTAGTGGCATGAGTTTGATAACTGTCACATCAGTAGTAATCAGCCTTAAAGAAGGGTAAACATTTTATATCTGAAGTAAAGGGTTACCAAAATTTTGGATCTGTAAAGTATCTGTTTCTTTTTTTACTTTTTTTATACAATATTGACTAATGGGAAATCCTAAAAATCAAAAGAGTTAACCAATATGCTCACTGATTTTAAGAAAATTTGTCTTTCATGATGTACAGTATAGTATTCTTTATCAAGTTTGTTTCCCATGCCGGTTATGTTTTTTGTCTTCCAAATCTAGCTCAGTGCCAACATCCCGGATAACGTATTTCAGTTCATTGAATATTTGAAGGAGTTGCTGTTATTCATTCATCAGAACTACCTACAGCCAGCTATGGTGTATGTGAAGACTTCACTGGAGCTTAGCTGGCAAAAGTTTGTAGAATCTTGCAAGTAAGATCTTTTTATTCCTTCCAAAGTGTTTTCATATATGCACCATGCAGAATTAATTGAACAGCATCAGTGATAAACTATATACAGATATTCACTGATGTGCTACACAACTGTCTAGCAGTTTCTGCGGTTACATGTTTTTTTTAATCAATTATTCTAAAATCTAAAAAGCAATAGGAAATAAAAGATTTGCCATTTATTAATCATTGTTTTTTCTTTTTTTTTTGCAGTGGGGAAGTTTCCATGCCCTGCATTCAAAACCATTTAATATCCATTTCTAATTCCACCTGGACTTATGTGCAGAACACAACTCTTGCTGTTAAAAACTGGGCATTTGCAATAATGTCAAGACAGTAAGAAGTGTCTGTGACCCTGAACCCCAGAGACTGAGTTCCTTTTGTCCTCCCCACCGGGAACAGAAACCACCAGTGCTTTTTAATGATTGCTCAGAGAAAGACTTTCCACTTAGGTGCAAACAAATACAAAGATTTTTGTCAAACCGCATGGAATTTTGTATCCGACTCATTTTGTACCTATGGTTTGATCACTTTGAGGTATACATTTTTTTTAAGTGATATTCAGGATTTTAATTGTTGGGCAGTGTTATTTCACGGAAAATTGCCAAATGGGGAAAGATGGATTTTAGTGGCTGGCTTTCCTTTGAAAAATGCATCAGCTTTGCCATTTATTATCTACACGGTTTCAGCTGACCATGTCTGATTACACATCTGGATAACAAAAGTTAAAGTAAAGGTTCAGTGAAAAAGAACTACTTCTTAAGACCTCAAGTTAACACAGACTTAGTATTTTTTTGGGTAATTTTAGTTTGTGTTTAATTTCTATTGTTACATGAGAATGAATTTTAAAGCCTCTTGCAGGGCCATTTTGGAAGGTGGTATTAACTTTATTTAAACCCAGTTAAAGTTCACTTCCTTAAATTTATTGTATGTTTTTTTTTAAATCTGTACCCAGAGTAAAGATGAGATATCAATGGGGAAAGGCACTGGACTGTTTTGATATTGTGATTACTACTGCTGCTTTCTGTAAAATATTTCAACATCAGGTCATTTTTAGTAGGGTAATTGCCCTAATTAATTGAAAAAAATCAAATATTTTAGCTCATCAGAAGCATACCAGAGACTAGCCAGCTTGTGCTATTGAAAATAATATTAAAAGTCAAGAGACATTTTAGAATGTTAAGTACTAAATTCTGCATTTATTTTTAGCATAAAGCTGATGTTTACAATTGAGTAATTACATTTTTTAATCTTGCCTTACCATCCCTAAACTGAAAAAACAATTTTTAAAAGTATCTGGTCTGTGTTTATGTGCAAATTCTTAACACTATTCACGTATTATTAGGTCTTTGATAGTGTTTTGATATAACAGTGCTGTTCCTGATTACTACTGTCTTGTCAGTTGAGAAAATAAGTCTTACACCTGAAGTATATCTTCAGCGGAGCAGAATAAGATGTTTACAGAGTGAAGGCTATGAAAGTACATTTGTAATTATGCTTTCACTTAACCTTGTAAGCTTTGTCTTGGGCTCTCCAAAAAGTAGAATGGCATAGAATGACCAAAATCAAATTTTCTTTATGCTCAGTGCAGAAACTGAGGTTTGATACCACAGCTGTCTGTATCCTCAAAGTAGTTGGGTTTCTATTCCATGTACAGAATTTTTTTTTTAAATGAAAGAGTCTCATGCACTACTTCACTTGAGAATCTTGTGTGTGTGTGCGTGTTGAAATAAAGTCTATCTGATCTACCTTTTAACTGCAGATAATCACTCACTTCCACAAAATGATGAATATCTTTCTTGGGTATCCAGTGTTTTATTCTTACCTTATCATATAAGAAGATGGCTGTAAGATCTACGGTCGTGTTCACTGTAGTAAACCACAGAATAAGAAGCACTTCACATCCAGTGATCCTTGACACATTAAGAAAAAGACTGTGAAATCATCCAGTATTTCATCCTATTTTGTGGTTTTATTACCCAGAATACTGTCTTGTACAATCTGGATTACTAAACAGACAATGCAATATATTTGCATTATAGATTGAATACTACATTAAACCTGTAATATTGATTTAAAAAAGCGTTCCAATACATCATTCCATGATACTGTTGTGTGTTATAAAACATCTTGAAACCTCTCACAGTACCCCATTCTCTAAGGTTTGACAATAGGAATTCTTTAAAGTGTTACGCCAGCTGTACTGTACCTTGTCTTCTTGTTCTTGGGATGACAACATGCCCAATTAATTTAAGCACTGAAGAAGCTCTTTGGGATTAAGGTAAATGACTTGTGTAAAGTTTTTTGTTGTTGTTGGGTCCATCAGTAAAGAAATCACCATTTAAAAAATCTCTTATTTAGGGAGCCCTATTTGGAGTAGGGAAACACTTTACCATTTGTTTAGTTCCCTTCTCGGTTCTTGTATGCATCTGTCCATAATAGCAGTAGACGTTGTAAACTTGTCTTCTGAAGTTTGCTGTTGTCTATTATCTCACTGGGCCAGAGAATGTAAGAAAGGGTACAAGAAAAAGGAACGATTTTCCTCATCTGACAATAGTTAATCGATCCCAGGATCTCATCCAACTGTTTTAGAAGGAAGCTAAGATATCCGCTTGAACTGCATGTTCGAACATCTTAACGTTCTTCCACAGCCCTTAAATAATTGCAAGTATGAAAAATTGCATCCTGATTTTAGTTTTCGCTGCATTTCTGATTGTGCCCTCTTGTTCATATTTCAGTTTTTTTTCCCCAAGTCTGCTTTGTTGTTTTTAGGGATTTTGAGTACTTGTACCTAGTCTTTTCTGTTCCCTTAAACCCTGCAGTGAATCTGTTTGCTCTTCTTTAGACTAATTCTGGAGCAGCAAAAAAACATTTTTGTATTGTGGTGGCAAATATTGTATACAGTACTCCTAACTAGGAGGAATGAGCCCTAAAGAGTGTATTGTACAATTTTAACATAACCTTTCAGCTGAATTCTTCATTTTTGACTATAGCCTAATATTGTTTTCCTTTACTGCTTCCTCATAGTATCTGAAAGATGTAAACCATGTGGCAACATAAATGCACAGCTCTTTCATAAGTAGCCTTTTCTAGCTTCATTTTCCTCATTTTAATTATATCAAATTTTATCAAGTGTTTACTAGCTCCATCCAAAAACCTGCCCTTATCTTCATTAAACCTTATCTGCCAAGTGCAGAACAAAAAAAAAAAAGCCAAACATTACAGCTGTGTATTCCTTGACAAACAGTTGTCAATTTTTCTAATGTTTATCTTTGTAATTGTTAATCTTTCTCATGGTGTCGGGATCATTGACTTTCCTTTAATCATTTTAACTGCCTTTGTAAAATTAAGCTCTCACTCTTGACATTCTTGTAACTTCTTCTGAAGTCTTCCCCTTGCAGTGTGTAGGTTTAATTAGAAGTTTCTAAAGACTGATCATCAGTCTAAAAGTTGGCAAATAGGCAAAAATATCTTGATTATACTGCACATTTAAGTTTCCAGAGGTGCTTTAATATCCAGTGTGGCTGAGATGTAATATGTAATTTAAGTTTAATTTCCTATGGACGTGTCTGTCTCAATAACTCCACTCACACCTGGAGGAGTGCCATACTCTGGTATTTACTCTCTGCGGCTGTTTATCCCACTGATGTTGGAGTAACAGCACATGGAGAGAGTAGAGTAGTTTGCCTTGTGTATACATACCTTGGAGTTCCTAATCATGCTGATCTCTTGGGACATACACAGTGCATCAGACAACACTACACAATCTAGACAACAGGAACAATAATATATTGTGGAAAAATAAATATTTTGTAGTGAGACTGAGGGGAAAAAAAAGGTAGACTATGTAAAAAGTGCAGAGTGCAGGTCTGTATTGAGTCTGAGGCCCTGCAGTTAGGTGTTGAGGATGTGTGCCGCAGTGGGATAGAAGCTGTTCTTGGGTCTAGTGGTCCTTGCTTTAACAGAGCGGTACCGCTGGGGGAGAACAGTTTGTGGCCGGGATGGTTAGGGTCATGAATGATGGATTGGGCTTCACTGCGACAGCAGATGGTGTGGATCTCATCGTTTGATTGTAAATCACAGCCTATAATCCCATGTGCTGTTGCCACAACCCTTTGTATTGCATCTCTGTCATGCGTGGTAGTATTGCTGTACCACACAGTGAGGACACTTTCTATGCTGCAGTGGTAAAAGTTAATGAGGAACTGCTTCCCCAAACTGCATTTCTTTAAGCACCGCAGGAAGTGCAGGTCCTGTTGTGCCTTTTTCAGACTGGCTACAGTGTTGTGAGTCCAAGCCAGGTTGGTAAAGATCTGCAGGCCGAGGAACCTGAAGCAGCTGACAGTATCCACTGCTGTGCCATCGATGCTGACTGGGGCATGACTCTCTCTGGGTCTCCTGACGTCCACTATGAGTCCTTTTGTCTTGTTGACATTCAGGGCCGGAGTGTTGTCAAGGCAACATCTTGTAAGATGTTCCACCTCACTCCTGTATGCAGATTGTTGTTGATTGTTGTTGATCAGCGCAATAATAGTGGTGTCATCTGCAAACTTAATGATGTGGTTGCTGCTGTAGGTGGCTGTACAGTCGCAGGTGAACAAGGAGTACAGCCTAGGACTGAGACAGCATCCTTGTGTGGCTCCAGTGTTTAGGATCGCTGTAAAGGAGATATTGTTGCCAATTTTTACTACCTGAGGTCTGCCCATCAGGAAATCCAGTATCCAGTTGCAGATAGAGTTCCATAAACCCAGATTCCTGAGTTTTGGGACTAGCTTGGCAGGAACAATTGTGTGCCGAGCTGTAATTTATAAACAGCATCCTAACATGGATACCCCATCTGTCTAAATGTTCTAGGGCAGTGTGATGTGCTAGAGATATGGCATCATCAACTGACCTTTTTAGGCGGTAAGCAAACTGAAGTGGGTCAAGGGAGTCTGGGATTGGGCAATTTATACAGGACAATATTAGTCTTTCCAGGCAGTTCATGACTACTGAAGTGAGTGCCACTGGGTGGTAATCGTTCAAGCAAGTTGCCTTGGTCTTCTTGGCAGTGGCAAAATTGTGGTTTACGTAAAGCACTCTGGTACAATTGATAGGGACAGAGAGAGGTTAAAATGTCTGTATACACCGGAGAGAGCTGGTCTGCACAGGTTTAAGGACACGAGGTGAGACACCATCTGGGCCAGCTGCTTTGCGGATTTTTACTCTTCTAAAGGCTCTACCATCTCATGTCTTGAGAGCTGTAACACAAAGTCCCCTGGTTTACTGGGAGCCTTGATAGGGGGTTCGGTGTTCTAAGCCTCAAAACTAAAGTAGAATGTGCTCAGCTCATCTGGTAGAGATACTTCAGTGGAGGAAATGCCCCTGCTGTTTTTTTAATTTGTCCTTGTAATCCTGTATTGTGAGTTTTATAGCATTCTCCATGTCATACCTTGATTTTTTTATACAGTTCTCTGTGACCTGATTGGAAGGCAGCAGGCCGTGTTTTAAGTTTGGAGCACACATCTTTGTTCATCCAGGGCTTCTGATTCTGATTGATATATCCGAATCTTCATGGAAGGAACACATCTATCCACACAGTAACTGACGCAGGATGTGACCACCTCTGTATACTCATTTAGATCACTGGAAGAATCTTTGAATACGCACCAGTCTGCGAGTTCTTGCTCAGCAGCGTCTGACCACTCTGCATGGTCTTTACTGCAGGTGGCGCGCTCTTTAGCTTCGTTAAGCCAGCTAGCTTTGTTCTTTAGTTTGTTACTCAAGAAAAATAGACCTTTTCACGTTGCTTCAAAAGACATTCAGATTTCTGAGAAAACAAGTGAAAGCACGATATACGCTTGTTTAAATGGTTGTTTATACTTTCACGTAACGTCGAAGGCTCAAAATAGTCTAAGTCACGACCTCAAATGTTTAAGGGAGATAATTAAGAAAATTATCCAAAAGCAGGGTGCACTGCATCTAGTGCCTACAAAGGTTATTTCTATTCAGAAACAAAAAGCATAAAAGTGCTTTAAATTAGTTTTGCTAACAGTGTGACAAAAAAGAACAATTAAATAGGGTGGTATGAAATATGTAAAGCATTTTTTTCCAGTACTACTACAGTAAACGTGGGATTGAGTAGCTTGAGTGATAAAATATTAATGGTAGGCCTTAAAATATAGTTAACATACTAATTATTTTACACAGGTGTTTATAGCATATGTCAGTAACACACTCTATGGTAGAGAGCATCCTCCTACAGTGCGGGGTATCATACTGAGGTTGTAGAGGTTAGGATGGTTAAAAACAAATACATCGCCAGGACCTTGATGATATTTTTCGGGTCATACATGTATTTAAGGAAATGAGGAATGTTATTCATAGACTGGCCCCTAGCCAGAATATTTCAATTTGCTTAGAATCAGAACAGTACCAACAGATAGTAAAATTGCAAATTTAACACCAATCCATAAAAGGGGGTCAGAAATGGACAAGGGAACAACAAACCAATACTTCTGTTACTGGTAACAATATGGAAATGATAGAGCTTAAGTAGGAGAAAACTTGGGAAACAAGGACATTTTTAGAGATAACCAAAATAGGCTTATAAAGGTCTTGTCTAACTTACTAGAATTCCTGGAATTGTTGGCACAATCAACAAGGACATTGGCTATTGCCAAAGAGTTTGAGCTCCGTGAAGTTGCCCGTCCCCTACAAACACAGCACAAATGATGAAACCCTGCGCATCGGTTACGCGTTTGTGCTGATATGCGCCGTTAAGACTAGCGTTTGAGCTGCTTTCGTTTCCGAGACTTCTTTTTCGAGTGATCATATGACCATGTACGGCGCTGTTGACCGTTAGCAACCCAGTCTGGAAAGTTCATGCAATGTGTTACTGGTGCGAGCGTAAGAATGTCTGGGGGGTGAGTTTGCATTTAATACCAGAATTGTCCGTGCGTTTGTGTGAACGGGAAAATTAACATCGCCTCCAATATCATACCCTAATAACCAGAGCTGCGAGTTTAGCCTTAAAAAAGCGAACATTAGCAAACGGTTGCATGTTATTTACAAAAAAGGCTAGCACGTATTAATACTTCTTAGCTGTGTCAATATTTTTTTAAATCTGAAGAAGCAATTAGCTTCTCATTGGGTCCGTTTTAAATATGCAAATCAAAGGGGACTGGGTAGAACCCGCAACCGGATTGAAGACTATCACGCATGAATAAATACATTTCAGACTTTTATTACACTGGTATCCTTTTATATATTACTGTACAAAACAATAATAAAACGTGTAGAAAATACAGTAAGAATCAAAACATTGTTACTATAGATTAAAACCATAGATTTAAAAATTCTGAGAGCTTTGTTCCAGCATTTAACATCTCGTTTTCTACTAAGTTCTAGTGTATTAAAGTGAACTATAGCAGTTTTCTCCAGGGGCACAATTCCAGGAACCATTAATAGCTTCTCCAAGTACCCTCCCTTTCTCATTCATTTAGTCTATTCTCTAACAGAGTTAAGGGGGCATTGCTCTAGTACTTAGAATCACTGCCCCCAAAAAATATTTACTTTTTTTAGTAGGTACAGGTGTACTTCATTAAACTATAACAGTTTTTTTTTTTCTGGGGCCCATCTCAAGCTACATTTATTCTGGATGTAAGAATTATATTTTGCACTGTTGGACAATTATTGTAGAGGGGATGAAAGATTTCCAGAGTCTATTACTGGCACACCAGGGGACAGAAGGTCGTCTCTCAGATGGGAGGAGTGTAAATGCTCAATGGAGGCTCCCAGCCTTCTTTCCTATCTTCTTTTTGTATGTGGCATGTAGGCCGATTTATGTTGCTCCAAATATCTTGCAGTTTATTTTGAACAGTTTTAACAATGAATTACAATTTACGGTACTGATGGTGCAAAACTAACAAGTAAGCTGGTATTGTAAAACACTTTTGAAGTGTTAAAAGTGTCCCTTCTATCTAAAAGAAGTTGATTTTCTGTTGGCATTTTTTTTGTAAAGGGTGTCACAATATTTGCACCAAAATTTGATTTTGATCCATGACCATCACAAGTACTTTAAGTCATTGCCAACCTCTATACTCTGACCATTAGTTACAGCAGGCAGAGGCTACAGTATTTCCACATTAGCTTTAGGGTTTTTGAAAAGAAACATTATAAAAGATTTGGGGAAACTCTTCAGGAAGATGAAAATGATGCTCAGAGATGCCTAGCATTCAATGTCAGTTTTACACACATGATTGTATTTTGGCTCAATTTGTCTTTTGCTGTTCAACAGATCCCTGCGCTATGATGATTACCTGAGTTTATCTGGTCTCTGGCCAAGATGTACTGTATACTGAAAACCCTTTATGCTTAAAAATCATCAATAAATGTTGTTTTTCAGACAAGCATCTTGAACATATATTTAAGGACTGGTATATATTTAGGAATTATCCTTGGTAAACACTTTAATTGTTACATACATTTTCTATAAAACTACTCTGTACTATCTCTCCAAAATCATCAAGGATATGTTCATTGGTAGCTGTTACATTATGTATGTGAAAAGAGCACAAGACCCTCAGCAAGTAAAATGTTTTTTTTTTTTGTTCTGGGAAGCTTTCAAAGACAACTACTGTATTCAGTTCTTATATCTGAGAAAACATAAATCACCTGATGTTTTTATTGTTGACTGTAAGACTCATCATTTTCTTAAATCGTTTAAGCACAGTAAATGCACATTCTCACATGTTGATTTGGGTATGAGGCTGTTTGTCACAGGAACAAAGCAGTGTGGTGACAAAGCTGGTTCCTGCCTATAGTTTCACCATGTCATTAAACCAAAACACTAGGAAAAGATAAAGTAAACAATAGGTTCTACATGCTTTGACCTGTATTCCTCTGTGTGTTCCCTGTGTAGGAACACACAGGGATTATTATAAAGGGTTATCATAAGACAGAAACATCAGAATGTCAGAAGTTCCGAATATCTGTAAAATACAAATGTCAAATTTCTTATTTTGAGCAAATACTTGTACAAAGTAAAGATGTTTGAGTGGGGAGCTGTGTCAGCATACAAAGGCTGCGAAGGAACACGTAAAGGTTGAATCTATGCTAAAAGCTAAAGAAAAGAGACAAAACACTTCAGTTGTGGAGCCTTATTCAGGTTTGACGGAGAGAGGGAAGGAGAAAACAGGACAGAGTAAGTGAGAAAGGACTGGGACCAAGGGCATAAAGTAGGTGAGAATGAATGTCCAAACTCAGGGAGAAAAGGAGGAGAGGCATAGAAAACTGAAATCAGCAGAAGAATAGAGAGGATTTAAAAGAAGAGTCTGTTATTGAAAGAATGGGGAAGGTGAGATCTAAGATTAAGAATATTTTTGGTTTTGGATGTCTTGCTTTCATACGAGTTCTGTAAACCCTATTTGAAGACACAGACGGAGATATCAGAAAGATCGTTTGATTGCCTACAGTCAATTTGTAAAAACCTTTATAATTTTTTTTTCATTTACTCTGTACTTTTCTTGTCTTTTTTTCTATTCATGATGTGCATCTTAGTGGGTTTGGAAAGGCGCTTTATAAATAAAAGTTATTATTATTCATCTGTGATTCCACAGCTCTGACATGTTCCCAGAAATGGTCTCCCAGTCGTCTTCCTGTCTCAGCAATGTAACAGGCTGGGCATTTTCTGCATGAGAGGCAGTGAGTGAGATTGATGGAACTACATGATGACATCTGGGTGACACGGAACCACCCATAGAGGCCTTGTATGTGTGTGGTATTGGATATATATTGACAGATTGTATTGCAGGGGAAAGTGCCTGGTGTGGAAGGTTGCTGTAGGTGGACAAGGGAGCTGTGAACAAGAAGACTGCACAGATTAGGTGGTCAGCAATATGACATAATGGGGCGGTCAGTAAAGAGATTTCCAGTGGAAGAGTCATCTTGCAAGGAAGGGAAGTTGTCACTGATGGTCCTGGGAATAGAATGGTCCTGGAAACTGATGGCTGGGAGTTCCTGTTTGGGTTGATGGTCCGAGGGCCATCTCTAGTGTCAGTTAGGACCCTGTCATTAACATGTTTTGGGTGTCTCTCCTGTCAATGAAAAAAGACTGCAATCTGAGGCCTTCGTTTAGGAAATCCATGTCATCGGTGCATTGTCATTGGAGCATGAGGAATTGTGAAAAAAGGAGAGGGTTTTTAGTGTGCGTGGAGGGGAAAGAGCTATACAGGAGAGAGCTGTGTGAATCAATGGGTTTGTAAAAGACGTCAAGAGTCATTGATGGTTACTGGAGAGATTTATGTCCAGAAATGGAAGAGTATGGAAAATAAAAGATGCAGTAATACTTACCTCTTGCTTGAAGGACCCAAGCAACCAAAATCATAACTAAATAGTTTTCTGAATCTCTTTTGTGCCAGAGAGAAAATGTTCTCCAGAGCTGGAATAAACCAACTAATCCCTAAAACAGGTCAATGGTGCCAATTTTTTGTTGTTTTGTTATGTGTTTTGGGGGTTTTCACTTTACACATACGTATGTTACACTAAAATCAATGCTACTTACTGTACACTCGTAAGAACTGATGTTTTCTTTTCCTGATGCCTTCTGGTCTGGGACACCCTGCTCAAAGAGGAGTTTGGTGTGTATGTTTGGATTACTTAGTTTAGGCAGTCTCAAAAACATGAAGAAAAAACTGAAAAATACATAAACTAAATATAAGGACTTTTCAGGTGTGAAGTCTATAGGCAGCTATTGCAAGCTAGAAATAATCAGGGGCAAAACCCATGTAACCCTAATAGAGACTACAGAAAATGAATGACAAAGGTAGGGAATTTTGACAGGCTGAATCTTATTCCTAGAATTCTGCCCAAGGACAAAACTATTATATTTCAATTAAGTTCACTTGCACCTATCAGGAAAAAAGTACAATTGTTTTGGGGCAGCGATTATAAGTACTGGGACAAAGCCGTCAGAAACTTTAAAATCTATATGGATTTTAACTCATTTCCCTGAAAGTGTTATTATTGTTCTTTTTTATGATCAGTAAATGAATGTATAAAAGTAGAGCAGGGTAAGAAAATACTAAAACCTGTTCAGTTACTGTCTGCGTTCCACCATTTCCACTTTCTGGGTTTTATCAAGTCCCAGATCAAGGGATGTTTAAAGATTCAACCCATCTTTCGAGACATGTATTTAAAAATACTAGAATTAACAACTTCCTGTCTTGCTATACTGTACTTCTGTAAAGCAAGACCATTGTTGTACTATTGTATGCAAAGCAAATTCTGAAACATGAAGAAGTTCTAGGAAGATGTTTTTCAAGGGACACTATGTTAGTTTACCTACAGAAGGTAGCTCATAACACATCTTTAAAACCACATTGGAAACCTTACAGCCTTGTACATGAAGACCTCTGAAACATTTGAAAATGTTTTTCACTTAAAATAATTGAACATATATCTAAGTTAAAAAAAACATAATTATCCACGTCTTTGTATTGAAGTATTGAAGAGTAACCTTATTGAAACTTTAATTGAATATTTATGATTTGTTTTGAATTCAATTGAATTCAAAATACTTTATTAAGCCCCAGGGATTCAGATAATGAATAGTAAATTACAATCAATGTTGCACCAGAAATAATGTTTCAGAATTCCTGTCTTTTATGTTTGGATCAAGCGATAAGAATTATACTGTTAGAGTTAGATAGTCAATCTCGCCTGTGGTTACTGTATGTCACACACTGACATGGGTCAATGGGTATAACCTGTGTATACAGTGTATAGCATGATGAATTGATAGATTGAATTTTGATGACTTTTTAAATTCATCAAAATGAAGTTGCATTTCTCTCTTAGAGATTACAATTAAGATTTAAAATAGAGCTCCTATGACACTTGCCAGCTGTCTGATATTCATAGGCAACATTTTTACCATCTGCACTCTTTGCACTTGACTACAGTCAGGATAAGATCAGATAAGATAAACTTCTTATCTTATAGTATATTAAATAATAACTTCTCTAATAGTAATAATAAGGAGCAATGTGATGCTTAATTGATTGCAAAAATAGTTATTACATCCTTATTACTTTTCTGCTTTAAGCTCTGACTTCATGTCTGACACGTACAGTAACATACAGGCTCCCTCAAATCTCCTGCAAATTTTGATACTTTATTTTTCAACGACATTCGAAAAAATAACAAGTCATGTCCAGTTGCAAAAAAAAAAGGCTAGAAAAGCGCATTACAAAAGTATATATACAAAAGCGTATCAGCAATCTTAATGCTTGAAAAGCGAGCAAGCAGGTCCCTGAACGGTAACTTGGCTTTAGACTGAAGAAGAGATGTGCCTGAGTGTTTTACGCGTCCGGCCTGGTGGCTCCGCGTGCTGAACTATCGGACGCTTTTAAAAGTTCAGAAAACAGATCAATTCCTGTGAGTTCAAGACGAGCCCCAAGCCTCCCCGTCACACTGAGATCTAAGCCCCAGGTTCAGCTCTCGTGCTTTCGGAGTGAGTTTGTGAAGGTGGCTGTTCTCTACCACGCCGGCCGTTTTGGGAGGCTCCATTTTCGGGGCCTTCCAAAACCGGGAAAAATTGGGAAGTTTAAGTCCTTTATAAATGCATAGTTCTTAATTCAATTCTAAAAAGCAGCCCCTTATACCACTGAGACACCTGCAGGACAAGTGTGGCACAAGCAATGAAAGAACGGTGCAGTCCTAACTAGGAGCGACAGGGGGGTCTCTCACCACCTCTTGATTCGATCAACCGACCGCAACCTAAACGATCCCGGCGAACAGGGGAATATCACTGTATTAGGTTGTCTGAAATTTCTAAGCCGTTATGTACTTTATGTACGATTTGGTGAGTTTAAAGTTTCTGTTTATCTTCAGTAACGTCAGTGTTGAGCCCTTGTAACGGAATCCACAGCTGTCATTCAGGACTCCAATCCGCCCCCAGAATGACCTTCCTCAGCGGACACGCCCCGTCCACCTGTCCCACAGGTGCGCCCGGCAAGATGGCAGCGGGGCGAGTTTCTGCGGCTCTAGGTGCGTTTGCGTTTTATTTCTAATTTTCTTATATTTAAGTGCATAAAATCAAATTTCACTTTGAGGAAAGATAGACATACATGTATTGCTGTTGCAACTTTTGTTAATTGCATTCGTTCCTTTTTAATTTGTATTTCAGGACGCCGAAATGAGTGTTCTGTTCGTTTGAGCGTGCTTTCGAAGTTTTAAAAGTCTGCATGCAGCGTTCTACACTACCTTTCATGTAAGTATGTTTTTTTAAGATAACCTTCAAACGTTTGTTTTATAAAGCTGTACGCTGTAAGCTGTAAGGGCTATAAGAACGCTTTCTGCTCCGAAATGATAAAATATTGTACAAATTAACTAGACTAATTCGTATGCTCTTTTATTTCTCGAGGTGCCAAAATGATTTCCAGAACGGACCTCCAGTTATTAAAAGTGATTTTTCCAAGGTAAGTTATATTCTACTTTCTGCTATACCATTTATATGTGTGTAACTCGAAAAAGACAACGCCTATTTTCCAGCATTTTAACACCGGACCGCGTTTATACTAACAATACTGTATAACTTCTATATATAACTATGTATAAGTATTGTAGTACTTTTGCTAAATAGAAACTCTGAGGCGCTGGTTCTTTTTATGGCTCCTTTACCCAGTGAATTCAATAGATTAATAAAGATGGATAATTAATAAATCTTATCGCTGGTTTTCAATGCGGGGGGTCAAATCCATTATGATACACGCTGTATCATATAAGTAGAGTTGAATTTCTTTGTGGGGCGAACTTATTCTCTAAATATTGGAGTATGGGGACTGGGATGTTTCCAACGAGAAATCACAAATTCCGTATTGGTTTCTTATAGTATTTGAGCGTGATTGTATATTTCTTATTCCGACATTTTATTAAAACAGTTTATTTACTTTCTTTACAGTTTATTAGACTTCACAACTTCAAGTGAATCGATTCTGCAAATCCGATATCCTGTTAACTTGATCCTTTTTCTTTTGCCTTTAGTTCTGCGGCTCCTGGTTCTCTGCGCTCCGACGATGTCCTTTCCAACTCCACTCCAGCGACTCGCCGTGCTTTGGCAAATTATCCTTGACAATGTGTGCTTTTCCTTACATTTCTTTTTGATACCAGTGGCTTGATCTGCGATGTTCCGATTCAGTGGTGTATTTTGTTCCTGACCTGCATGTTTCTTGTTGATTGCTATTACTGTATGTGCTGAGCATTCTGCAATAAAAGCTCTTGATTTCATTTTGTGCATCGTCTTGTATTTTTTCAAGGTGTGTTGGAAGGGTTTGCTCTGGGCCGCTGTCTCACTCCTGTAAGTTTTGGGCTGGAGAATCTGGAGCGACCACGGGCAGTTTCCAAGAAACCATGCGAAGGTTTGTTTTGCACTTTGCGCCACGCACCGCAAGGGGACACCCTATCGCATTTTTTCTTGGGAACTGCGGGGGCTACCCCCTTTTTAAGTGGCCCCAGATTTTCCCGCATTTTTAAATGGGGAGTTTAGGGTCCCTACCAGTGACCCTGGTACAGCCACAGGGGGAGGAGAACTGAGGATAGCTCTCGCGAAGCCCCCTCACTCCCAGCAAGAGGGGAAGGCAGGCTGGTGATGGCTTTGGTTCCAAGAGAGAGGAGGCACCCAGGGTGGAGTCAGCCTATCAGTCACATCTTGTAACTGACTGGCTTCTAAGTCCACACCAGGTGACCTGCCTCTCTGCAGGGACCAAAGCCATCACCAACCTGCCTTCCCCTCCAGCCGGGAGTGGGTGGGCTTGGCTAGAGCTATGGTCAATCAGCCAGCCCCCGCCTACCCCCTCTCCAATAAGGCGGGTGGGCGAGGCTCGGTTTGATTGATACCACACCCTGAAAAAGCCCCAATATACTACATTTTTTGGCGGGAAAATCAGGAGAAGCTTAAAAAGGAGGTAGCCTCTGCAGTTTTCAAGTCAAAATGCGACAGGGTGTCCCCTTGCGGCCGGGGATTCCAGGCATAAAGTAGCCCGCCGGATCTCAGAAACTGTTTGCAAGATCTCCGCCAAAAAACTCACCAACATTAAGGATTTTCAGGAGGAAGGGGGTACAGAACTCTGCACGAGAACTGAAAGAACAAAATCAAACTCCAATGACCAATTTATTGAGCGAAAACAAAGCATTCCAGTACAACAGATGCACAGGCTTTGAAGTGCAAATTAACATGCATTTTATTTACAAAGTGTCAAAAGCACGGCTACATTAACGCTAAATATTTCCATTCAACTACGGAAAAAAACAAACATACAATATGTTACTGTTTCGCCGAGGCAGCGACCTGAATGAAGACAGGAACTTCGTTGCATTTCCTGCAAAACCAGAGAAATCAGTATTAGTTGAGCTTTTCGTTACAGCAGGACCTCGGAATGATCCCTGATTGTTAGATCGAGCTTCCGTATTGACTGACACGATCAGAAGATATAAGCTTTAAAAGGATTTAACGTTGGAATAAAGAGCTTAGCCTGGTGATACAGAAAATGTTCCTGTTTAACAGGGTTTTGAAGTACGCAGGCTTACATTTAAAGTGTGAATACCGAAGGCACAACACAATCAATACAGCTACAATACACCGATAAGATAGAAACCACCACATTTTAATGTTTGTTACGATTTCTATTTTGATTATCATATTCTTTTTCTGATAGAACGTAGTTAACACATGAATGATTAATCCATATCTTTATAATATCCGTTGTTTTAATTGTTGTGTTGCAATATGGAAGCCAAAACGGTTTCTAATGAATCTATATTATGTGCTGCAAAAAAAGAGAAAGTGGTCGCAGAAAAAAAAAACATTTCTGCTGTGGATAAATTTAGTTTCGACTATTTCGAAACTACTTTTAAAAGGTGCACCACGTTATGTTACAACAATTTTCGGGAGGTACAGTTTATAGTGTACTTCAATGTGGTACGTGTAAACGAATAAAAGGGTAAAACTTACATAGATCATTCCAGCAGCTGCGCCAAGCACGTCCTGCCCGAAGACGCCAAACTGGAAACAAAATAACAGATATATTCAGACGATCATTAAAAAAAGTATTTAACCCAAGGTTTCTTAGTGGCAAACGGCATTTTCACTAGACCAGATAGCGCAGAATAAAGATCAATAAGATACGTGTAAAGAAATTAATTACAATGATTATACTTACGTTTATACTTCCACTATTTAGTGCAAATCACGTCCTGTCCGAAGACACAAAACTGTAAACCCAAAAAATAATGTAAAGACCATTGCACGCAAGCAAGCGCCACGAATTAAGACATAACATAATCACACAACATACTCTGAAAAAGGATTGAAAACCTTTACAATTCTAAACAAACAATTCTAGGTAGGCTACTTTCGGTTAGAATAAATGCACAAAGTTCACTAAGTGTTTGATAAAGAAATATTAAGACGTTTTCATTTTGCCAATACAGCGTCTTTACAACTACAACAGAGCTTTTCTTCGATTGAAAAAGAATACACACGTTATCTGTCTAATACAAGTGGCTTGTTAAAGATAAGTGAAGTGTCGGAAAAGAAAAAACTAAAAATGCTATTTAGCTCCTAACGAAAATTCGATTTTTACCCCATTTTCTCCTGCAAGGCTTTGACTACATAATTACGTGAGTTAAATTTTATCGACATTAAAATAAGGGGAAAATAAAACGAATCCAAAAAAGACACGGAACAAACTTACTCAAATTCCTTCTCTCTCGCAGAACCTGGCGGACAGGTGAGCGGGGCGCGGCCTGCGAAGGATATCATTCGAGCGGACGTGGTTACAGACTGACGGTGAGGGTGGCTTTTTTCTTCGCTCCACCTGAAAACTTGTAGAAGAAATTGAGCATGTTTTCAGAAGCCCCCATGAGTTACAAGTTTCAAAATCTTTTTTTCCATGACCAACTGAGTAATCATAGTATATTTAACCCTTATTAGTATCTGAGAACCACAGGAATGTGAATGAAAGAATTTACCAATATGTAGGAGAGCTGTGGGATCTAAATTCTTTGCAGGACACTTACTGTTCTATAACCTGATTTGTCTTAACACTGCACCAAGAAGTCAGATTTTTCATCTGTAAACGTTTATCTTGAAAGAAGACAAGCTGTTGGTTTCAACACAATGGCTGGATCACATGTGCCATTCTCCAACAACCCTTTGTGTAAAGAACTCTTAAATACACTTTCCCATGAGATCCTTTCACATTTCCCTTGGTGAAGTCTACACTGTATTACTGCAACCTTATTCTTAACTGGTTAACTGCAGCAACTACTTAACTCATTAGCATAATTTTCACACTAGTGTACTGTATTGAAGTACATTTTACATTCAAATAAATTCAAATTTCTCAACCTCAGCACAACCCCGTTTCTAAACTTTAAGCCTTACCCTTAGCGTTATATATGGATTAAAGATCAGGAGAGTGGAAAGAGGAGGTGGAAGAATATTTTTAAGAACCCACAGCAACCCCAGACACAAGGAGGAGCTGGAGGTGATGGCTACACTCATTAAACCAGATGAACACACCGTTTCTTTTGAAGAGTCAGAATATACCTGGCGGGAGATGAACAATTTCCTAAAAAGGTCTGGAACAGGATCAGTGCAGAGCCAAATGGTATCAGGTACAAGCATCACAAATACTGCAAGAGGCTGAGGCAGAAACTCTGGAGGCTGTTGAAAGCAGCAGGTAGGAGAAACGTAACTCAAAACAAGTTGATTGCAAAGAAGTGTGTGACGCCATGGGGGTAGTGGCTGCCACTATGGGCACCAACAGGCATATCCGACACTCCAGACACACCCCTCACAGCCTACTGGGGGACTTTTTTCCACTTTTTCTTTCTTCACACAGTTAGTTATTATTAGACCCAGCTTCAGTGGATGATCACTGCCCACTCATCTGGGCAACCAGGAGATGTGGTTGGAATACTTGACCACATGATGCCCAGACATCTTGGAATACGCTTATTCCAAGATGTTTGGGCCCCCAGCTCATGGATTCTCAGGCCCAGAGTCTACAATTCACCTACGTCTCTGTCCTTTCTGATGCCTTAGGTTCCTTGCATTGCCACATGGTTTCCCAAGCTCAATGAGCTTCATTTCTAGCTCTCACCCTCTGGCTAGTCCTTTTTGCAGACAATCCCATTTGACCAGACCCACTCTATCTCCTTCTCTGTCTTACCGGTGGGCCAACATGGCAACAACTGAGGTTGCTACTCTTCGAGGCCTTCCTTGCATCTCAATGTCACTACACAATCTCTCAAGGAGCCTCCCTGCTCCTAGCCATGTTTCCAGGAACCTCCTGCTCCCTTACTGTAGCCACTGGTCCTCTCATGACTTGGCTGTCCTTGGATTTCCAGGTCTGCCTCCTGCTGCTGACATTTTGTCCCGACACCAATGGGCTGGGTCCTACACAACTCAGAGTCTCCAGTGTCTCCCTCTTACACTCAGACTTAATTCACTCATTATACGAAGTCTCCAGCACCTCACTCTTAGGCTGGGATTCGGCACACTCATGTTAAGACCCGCACAACCTCTTAGATGCCTCACTCTTTTGTCCTAGTCCGTGCACACACAGCTACCAGCACACCTTTCCTGTGCCCAGACACCACTGTTAACTAACTCACTCTCACTCTCACACTCATTCATAGCAGATGTAATGCACATGCCCTGTTCTCACACTAAACAGGATGCTCTCTCTTTAAATAATCACATCTTTCACACCACACAATTCCCTCTGGAGTAGCTGTCCTCAGTCAGTCCTTAATGGGATTCCTTCGATAGTCTTCTCCCCAGTCTCCTCTGAGTCTGTTACTCTCATGTCTCCTTATTGGGGTTTCTTAAGCTGCAGCCGCTGCTCTCTTCTCACATCTGGCTGACCTGTTCTTTCCTACTGCTATTATTAGACACAGCTTCTCACTCTCACTGCCTTGCATCAGCCTTCATGTTAATAGAAGATCTGACCTCTGGTCAGCTACTAACTCAGGACTGATGTCCTGGCTTCAACTCTCCCAGGGAAATTTTCAGCCTGATCTTATAATCACACCTCAGAGTGAGTCTCCTTAACTCCCAAATGCTCTTCAGCTGTGGTCTCATAGTAACACATA